TTAAGACAATATTCTTGCTCTACTGTTTTGGACTGGATAACTAGTCGTCTGGATGATTTTTTTTCTTTATGCTATCTAGACAATATGTTTTGCCATAACTCTGTTAGCATATCATGTTTATAGTATATGATGTTTTGGTCTATAGTGTGCTACTATCTTATCCCCTCTTTGCTGATGCCAAAAAGGAGGAGACAGGATATCTATATTCGTGCTGATAGTGCAGGTACATGTGCAGGTACACGCATTGTAGTGCAGGTACATCAATTGCAATGTTAGTCGACTATAGAAACTGCAGGAGAAGAGAAGCTAACTAAAAGAAGTCCCAACAGCACCTCTTGAGGGGGAGTCAGAGATCATGCAGAAGCAGTCGACTAAAGGAAGCACCTACTGAGGGGGAACCAACTGCACTCATTGAGGGGGAGTAAAATAAAGGGAAGTCAACTGATGTTTACATGCTTATATACATATTATTTTGTCATCACCAAAAAAGGGGAGATTGTTAGGTTTCAGTTTTAATGATGAAAAATAATATAACTATTTTTGGTACAGGAACTCAAGGTAAGCATCCAAGACTGAAGAAATCAAAAGGAAGGAAATCAATCACAGATTGATTGACATGGAGAAGAAGCATCGAAGATCTTGCAAGATGATCAATCAAACTGCTATTTTCGGAAGGATCAATAATCAAGGAGGAAAATCCGCAGTATCAAAGCCTGTAGAAGGAACGCTATCAATACCCTCTCATCAAGGAAGAGCAACGGCAAATAACTTTATTCTTGGAAAGATTCAATCTCTTTCCAAGGATCAAATCTCTTGGGTTATCAAATCTCTTCAGCAAACGGCCTCCCACATAGTATTTATACACTTCCTTACGGCTTAGAAAAATATACTTTGATCGAACCAAATACCCTCTCTTTGTTCTACTGCAAACAAACATTGTAGCTCTACTAGATCTGCTGTGTAACAAGTTAGAGAAGAAAGAGAGAACAATACTGGTGAGGCATTGTATCAAAGAGAAACAAGTGATATAGGAACTGAACCATTGGTGTAAACCACACCACTCACTATGTACTCGAGAAACTCATTCACTGAAAGAGAACTCCCTTACAACCCAAGGGGACTGGACTAGGATTCACATTGAATCCGAACCAGTATAAAAATTCCGATGTGTTTAATTCCTGCATTTTATTTCTGCATCTTGAATTCTGCTCTTATTGTTATAACATTATTACGTCCAGTCGACTAATTAGAAAACTAGTCAACTTGTAGCGATTAAAATATAAAAATAAACCCCCCCTCTTGTACTTTCAAAATTGCTCTGCAAGCTGGCATTATATCAAACCACGTATTTTTTATGAATATCCAATCTAGCTTTGAAAAAATTCTCTGATTATTATTCTTATCATTCCAAGTGTAGTGATTCCCATTATAAGGAAACTTTATTAATTCGCATTCCTCAATGCATGTATGAAAGTATACCACATCAGACCAAGTAACTGGTTCCTTTCAATTCTGTCTTCTGCTCTCAATACTGAGTTGAAACTCCCAACACCATCCATGGCTTCTGACAACCAACATGGTAGTCCACTAGGCTACTCCACAACTCTCTTCTCTCCTCTTTAGTGTTAAATGCATACCCAGATGTCACCACAAAAGTCAATTGTAATGGTATATATACTACCTCACAAGTGATACTTTGCAAACAACAACCACATTATAATAGTCTGGTCTCCATGTCACCACAATCCTCTCATCGTAGTGTTCCTCCAGGTTTGTCACATTTTTCCATCCACCAAACAGTTTTTCAGCTATCATATCTATTTTGTTCCTTTTGATCTTTGTTTCCAACAGACCAACTAGTCCTACCTGTTCACTATTGCAAAGGAGTTTTACCTCCTTTTGCTTATTTGGGGCGTTTAAGCCCCTGACATTCCAACTTAGTAGCTTAACCATTCCCAATGTGGGATATGGTCCTACTATCCACATTTTTCACCTGACTGTTCCTCCTCATGTCACCCTTTTTTCCTCCTTGTGCCTCGTGGTTTAGCACTTGAAAGGAATTTATATTGTTTCCCTGCTTTGTCACTTGATGATTTTGTGAATTTTGTCTTCCTGGTCTTTGTGGTGTCACCCATACTGTCTCTACCTGTTTTCTGGTTGGTGATTCTTGTGTTGAGTTACTCTTTTGTGGAACCAAGTTCCTATTATCTGTCGCAGCAATGTTTGCACTTCCCTGTTGTTTTTGTGCTCCCTGATCAGCTACACCTTGCCCCATAGCCTTCATTAGTTCTTCTGAACCTTAGGGGCTGTCTGGTTCTTCTTTCCTGAACCCTCATGATTCCCAAGGTTCCTGTTCTTCCTATAAATCTCTATTGCATGACCATATTTGTGGCAGTGGGTGCATAATATTGGTTTCCAACCATAGGAAACCTTCTGCTCAATTAGCATCCCTCTTTCATTAACAAACCTCACACATTTCGGTAAGCTAGCCCCCATTTCAACCTCAACCACCAGCCTTGCAAAGTTAAGCCCATTCTTCTTCTCAGTATTATGATCCACCATCATTGGCCTCCTTACCAGACTCTCTATTTTACTCAAAGCCTTAGGACTCCAGTACTTAAAGTCTAGTCCTGAAAACCTAATCCATATAGGGACTGTATTTAGTTCATCCCTTGTAATCTCCATTTTAGGGTTTCATGATTACACAATGAACAACTTATTATCAAAGTAATAAATCCCTCCTTGAATAACATCATTCTTCCCAACAATTGTATCAAATCTTACTAATATTACCCCATTCTTAAGCATAGTAATTTTATTGATTCCATGCTTAGTCCATAGCCTCTGTATGAAGCCCTTGATTACTTCAAATGGAGGATAAGCCCCCCAGTACATAACATACAATTGCATTTTTCCAATACTCTATTTCTGAACTAATATCTCCCATATCAATTTGTACAACAAGAGACTCACCTTGCATTGTAGGGGCCACATACTCCAATTTGAACACACCATTTGATACTTTAGCAATGTCAAAATTATCCCAAACTGATTTCCTCGACTGCAATTGAGAGGGGTCACCGGAACCCGCTAGCCTCGGCAAAAAACGTGTATATATATATTTGTATATGCATCAAGGACCCCTCAAATAATTTTGATTTGCCCCCTCAAGCAGAAAAGCTAAACTGCTTCGTTGGTTTAATACGTTGCATTATGTCTTCCCTCACTAAAAGACCTGGGTTCGAGACCCAACACCAGTTCTCTCTTTTCATTTTATATGTTTTTCTCTTTGAATTCAACATGGTGTAGTATCCTGTATTTAGTGGTCAACTTGTTTTTTTTTTCTTTATCTTTTCTAAGTTAATGAACAATAATTTAGTACTGGTACATAGAAGGGGATAAAATATTCCATTAACAAAAAGCCAATCACCTTCTTTTATCCTTATATCTAAGTTTATAAGCATTATCATTTTTTTATAAGCATTATCACTTTCTTGACATGTATAAAATTAAGTAATTCACCAAAAATTTCCCCAAAAACAATAATTAAAAAATCCAAAAACCCTTCTGCTTTCAAGGATCACTTCGGCAAAGTAGCAAACATCTATCGATTCAACGATAGTGACTGAGACTCTGCTTGGATTGCTTAATAGAACTTTAATCTTGATCTTATTTGGCTAAATTTTTTTTATATTTTTGAACATCCTTTCGTTTACTGACTCATATTCATTAAGTTTTCAAGGAGTTGGCGCGCCAAATTTTATCGTTATTAGCTGACATATCTATGTCAAAGATAGCGGTGCTCTCGTTGCGCTCAAATCCAGCATCCGCCTCTGCACGTGACACTTCTGGAATGAATTGATTTGGAAAACACGGGGTGTAGGTAAGTATTTTTATGAATTGATTTGGTAAACACGGGGTGTAGTTTTTTCCATCGCTTTATCCATTTCATTGACGCAATAAGATCTGAAAAACACAATCCAGGGGCTACCGTAACCCACGACAAAATTAGGATGACCGTTGTTAAGATAATGTTTGTCCCACTTTTGTTTTTAGCTTAAAAGTTTTAGTACACTTTCATTACGTATGTTTACTTTTTTGATAGGAGTACAATTTTATCATCTCATTCGCTTTTTTAAATGGAAAAGTCAAATATAAGTTTGCTTATTTCCTTACGTATTTAAACAACTCGTAGTTTGAACTCTTCTTTTACTAGTCATGGCAAATGAAAAGCAACCAACTAAACTAAGACATAATTAAGGAGTATTGGCAATAGGTAATAGAGATAGATGTCGAATAGCCAACTAAAAGAGTAGTAAATTTCCTAATTATTTTCCTAGTTAATAACTACTGTCTTACTTCTTATCTTAAATTCATATATCTATTTTTTCAATAAGTACAACGTAATAAGATGCATATGTATCATGTATGATCGTTGAAACCAACTGAAGCAACATTTTTACGTAGACAAGTAGGCAACAACCAGTCCATAATGGATGGATATTCATATTCTGAGCCCAACCCAATTTAGGTGTGAATCTGATCAAACTCACTACTGAAATCTGGCCCACAATCACACCACAAAGAGAGTAATAAAAGTGGAGACATTTCCCACTAGAAAAGGTCTAAATAAAGTCAATGGTAGAAGAGTGACACAAAAGAGATTGCATTATTTTTATCCCAAAGTAGTAACACACTTAGCAACTTTGTAAAGCAAAAAAAGCAATAAAGGCAGAGAGCAAATCACCTAGAGAATTCAGAATCTTTGTCATTCTTTCACTGAGGAATCTTTCAGAATCCACTTTCCTTTTTTTACAATTGAGAACTTTCAATTCCATCATTTCCCTTAAAAGCTTCTACCCTTTTAGGCCACTAAAAGTTCTCAAACTGTTTTCAGCCGTCCGATGTAATAATTATCAAGAACCAGGGAGTTTTTTTTTTTTAGGGGGGGGGGGGGGAGGGGGGTAGGGATGGGTCCCGAACTGAAGTGGACCCCATTGAGATGTAAGTACAAGGACATGGGAAAAGAAAGAGTTACTTACATTTCTCATCCACACTATCCATATATGATGGCCCTCTTTTTGGTCTTAAGTCTTTAACTTTGAGTCCACCCAAAGAGATTAGGATTTCAATTTTAGATGGGGTTCTTAAATTTTTAATTTTTTGGTAATTTTTCTTTTTGTTAATTCATTTATTTGAAAAAAGAATCTTGGATATTTAGTTGAATCTCATTGTGGGTGTTGGTATTTGTACTCCTTTCCTTAGTTGTTGAGTCCCTCTCGATTGCTGTTTCTTTTGTTTTATTCAGGTGGATCTATTCTAATAATTGGTCTTCGAAAAATATAATCTCTTTTTTTTTGCTGCTCTTTCTTTGACCAGATGTTCTTCATTTTGCTTCTCTTCTCATTCTTGAATTGAAAAATTCATCGTATTGTGACAATTGGTTGAAGAAGAAGGAGTAGCAAAGTGGGGTTGGGATGTTTGGGTCTGGAATGAATTTGATAACCACAATAATTGGTTTTGGGATGAGTGCAACTTTTATTGTGTTTGTGTGTACAAGACTGATTTGTGGAAGGATAAGTAGGAGACAATCAAGGCAAATGTTTGAGATTGAATCAGGGATTGATCTTGAAATGGTAAGGCTTGCTTAAACTTAAAGACTACTTTTTTCTTTGTTCCTAATCAATGTTTGTTGATCCATTGAAGAAGATTTTCTGATTTTTGTTTAATCAGTGATCCCCCCTTGCTTTTAGCTGTTTGCTTCCTAATTTGTAATTTATAGACAGGTAGCATTTGCTTTGTGTTAAGACAACTTTTTAATCATAGTCCGTTTGTTGACTTGAGTATTTTGGTTTTGTGTAGAATGATTTAGGATTCAAAGGCTTATATTTGTTCCATCTTGATTTGCTGGTATTGCAGAGATTTGTTTAAGAAAAGATTTTTATGATCATTAATGGAAAGAAAAGGTGGAGAATGGAGAGTATAGCCTCATAGACTACCTCAGTACCCTATCGATGGAGCAGCAGGAAAGATAGGAAATCAAGATTGAATAGTCAATATGAAGAGTTTGTATGAATGCTTGTCATTATTGCATTGTTTTGCTTTCAAAATTTGCTGTTGTCTTTAGCTGCATTCTGAAATCTGAATTAAGTTGCTGCTTTTGCTTAATTGTCATAAAACTCGGTTGTCTTTCGCTGATTGTGGACATTTTGGCTACTGGCATTTGTTCTTTTCACACATTGTTCACTGAAACTGATGATATCTCTTCTGAGCAGTTAACTGAATGAATTGTGATTTAAGTTGCTATTCCTATAAATTCCCGGCAGATTCACTAATGGAAACCTATTCTGGCAGCCAGAGCATCGAATTAACGGGCTTGACTCAGTTGTGGTAGCTGCAATCCCCACCATGAAATTTCATCGCGAGGCTTTCACCTCCTCAGAAGATACACAGTAAGTGCAATCCAATACAATTTGTTTGAGCTGTGTGTTACATATGACATCTTGGCTATTGACTCTCATCTTATGCATTTGGAGAGATAAATGCGATGGATGTTCCGATGTACTATTTCTCTAAGCTAGTAGAGAATAGATATAAGGATAAAAGAGTGCACCCTATCGTGTTTATGGGGTTTCCCTTCGTCTATGTTGAACTTTCAAACAGTGGATTGAGTGAAACCATAGGCCTGATTCTTCATTATGGTTATAAATAAATATAATTGTACTGGTCACTGGTAGGGGCGGATTTAGGGGGACGGAATGGGACCCCCTTCGCCGAAAAATTACACTGTATATATAAGGCAAAATTTATTTTTTACCTCTATATATTAAGTATAGAATCCCCTTGACATAGCCAAAAAGTGTAGCTTAGTGGTCAAGGGGGTTCAAAACCTTTGTAGGTCATAGGTACAATTCCCACTAGCTACAATTTTCTTTAAACTTTTTTCTTTTTGAACCCCTTTCGCGGAGATCCTGCCTCCGCCACTGGTCACTGGTCAGGCTGCTACTTCCTCTTGTCTTGATCTAACCTAGTCTTTTTCTAGGTTGTAACTATAATGAAGTGTTTTCTGATTGGTATACCTAAGTTTGATAGGTTTGTCCATTGATGAGGTTATGCTATTTGAATTACAGGTGCAGTATATGCTTATCGGAGTACCAGGAGAACGAAGTTCTGAGAATTATGCCCAAATGTGGCCATAGTTTTCATCTTTCATGCATTGATATATGGCTAAGGAAACAGTCTACCTGTCCAGTTTGCCGTCTTTCTGTACCTGAATCTATTGAAAACAAACAAAGGCGTCCTCCAATGCTTGGCAGGGATCAAAACTCCGATAGTTCTGAGATTTCAGTTGAGCATTCAAGGCAATGGCTGCTACCTATTGTTGAACAGTCACAGGGTACTGTAAGTAACAGCAACGAAGCTGTTTCTGTGTCAATAAACCCTGAATCTGCAGTCTCTGCGGAAGCAGAAGCAAGGTCATGACATAAGGCAACATAGAGGTACTATAAGAAATTGGCATTCAGATGTTTTCTTGCATCAGACCCATCTTATTGGAGATTGACAAATGGGACTGATTCTGAACAAGGAGAGTCTGAAGACAAGGAGGGAGGACACGGCTTCTTCTGTAGATTAATGTTGCATATAACCAGTTAGGAGTTCTAGTTGCACTCTTTTAACAATTTGGAGATTTTAGGCCAAGTTTATGGTACACTGGCTATCTTATATCATGTTGTACAATGTCAAATCCTCTGGTAATATTGCTGTAAAGAAGGCGTTTAGGGTCTCGGTTTTTCATCCTTGACTGTAGCATAGTAGACATGAACTAAAGTTTTATGAAATGCTCTAGAATTGGCTCATTTGAGGACCATGTGCTCTGTAGGAATATGAGCCTTCATATACCTCTTTTAGTAATTGACAGTTAAGATATATTTTAATTTTTCACTTCTCTCTGTTAATCTGGTTTCTGATATACACTATCCAGAATCCGATGACACCTTAGTGTGTAGGGCTTTCTAGCTTTTCTGAACCACTGGTCTAGAATATCATATGCCTAGAAAGCCTGAATTTTGTAAGATACTACTGTTTTGTTTTTTTTTTCCACACGGTTGTTGGTACCCGTTTTGGAGTCCCGACTAATTTGGATTTGCGCTTAAAACTCACTAAAGGGAGAAGCGCTCCCTATCAGGATCTAGAAGATCATATGCCTAGAGAGACTGATTTTTGCAAGATGCTACCGTGTTTTAAAAATGTAGTTGATATTCTCTGGATCTCTTTAATTATTTTTCCAGTGATAGGGGCTACTGTTTATGATCAGGACCCTACAAATGACGAGCAGGGCCTAATCAAACGTATTTTCATGCAATAGTACTTAAGTTTTGACTAATTAGTAAAAGAAGATTATGAATGAGAAGAGTTTCAGTCAACTTTTTTTTTTTTAACAAACATTTACACATCAAGGATAATACTACTATATTTAGCTTCTTGGACTAGTAGATGGCAAACATAAGGTCACCACATACTCTTTGAAACACAGAAGAAGAGAAGAACGACTATTATTACATTTCTTTCATCAAAAACTTGCAATTTTTTCGTTTAAAAGTTTCGATGAAAAAAAAAAATTAAACAAATAAAAATAAAAATACCAATAATTCTCTTTTGGAGTATATAGAGCAAATGTACTATCAGTATGTCACCAATAACTTCGTAGAGATACATAAATAATTTTGTTGCCGTTGTTGCTGTATGGGTCAAAATTCGCTTTTAGAACATTCAGGCCGAGATAACATTATGACAAGGATCCTCAAGCCATGGTTTAAGATGGTCCGAGGAGCCGCACCAGCCTGTGGTCGAGGAGTCAAGGAGAGCCGCAGTCAAGGCACCAACAAGGATCAAGGTCAAGGTCGAGGTCGAGTACCGGCAATAGAGCTGTAACGGCTCATTTCCAAGGTAAGATCTGAAAGAGAATATTCTAGTGGATATTCTAGCGAATATTCCTTACAGTTGTACTATTAGGGTTTCTTGGGAAGATATCCCATATAAATAGAAAAAGGAGACAGAATAGAGACACGTGAAATTCATTTGTAAGAATAGTATTTTGACAAAGATTCGGTCTTGACTCAATACAGGGTGTGTTTGGTATGAAGGAAATATTTTCCGAAGAATATTTTCCAATTTTTCCATGTTTGGTTGGCTTAAATGTTTTGGAAAACATTTTCCTTATGAACTCATTTTCTCCAATTGGAGGAAAATGTTTTCCTTATCAAGATAAGGGAAAAATTTTTCCAAAACTCCTTCTCAACCTTCCCCACCCTCACCAACCCACCCTACCCCCTCTCTCCAAAAAAAAGGCTTTTTTTTTTTTTTCAAATTTCAGTTTTTCCGTTACCACCCACCCTACTACCCCTCCACCCCACCCCCACCCCCCTCCCGAAAAAAAATAAATTTTTTTTACTTTTTTTTTTGCAAATTCAAATTTCTGTTTTTTCGTTTTTTCTGCACGCCACCCCCTCCGCCCCCCCCCCCTCCCCCCCCCCCCCCCCGAAAAAAATATTTTTTTTAATATATTTTTTCAGTTTTAAGTTTTTTTATTTATCGGTTAAAGGTTAAAATTTTTACAAGTTCCAAAGTTATGAGTTCGGAGGTTTATGTTTTGTGAAGTTTACGGGTTTAGAAATTATAAAGTTTACGGGTTCGAAATTCCGCGGTTTCGAAAGTTTAGCGGTTCAAAAGTTTATGAAAAAAATATGGGTTCGGAAGGTTGTTGGTTTGAAAGTTTATGGCTTCATGTTTATTATATCTAAATTATTTATGAATAGTCTTGAGAAGTCATTTTCCTTAATTTGCGTACCAAACACCGAAAAATGAATAACATTACTACTTGCCAAGAAAAAATTTTCTTGGAAATATTTTTCGTTATACCAAACACACCCACAAAGATATACTTTTCACTGAGATTCTCATCTGTCTTTTACCATCAGATCCGATAAATCCTTGATTATTCGAGGATTTGTCACTCAATCATTGTGAGTGGAAGGTTCATTTATTCTGCCCTTTATTGAGTGAATCATTCTTCTTATCTACTAAAATGCTATTTATTATCATTCATTGAATATTATATGTTATATTACTGTTCTTGATTTTTTTCAAAGCATTTATCATAGTGTGTGACTGCCATCCGCAAAAACGTTTATCAATTACTGTTTCTGATATTAAGATCTAAGATATTATTCTTAACTAGGATTACCCTTTGTTATATAAATTATAACAAATAAAAATAAAATACCAATAATTCTCTTTTGGAGTATAAAGAGCAAATGTACTATCAGTATGTCACCAAATAACTTCGTAGAGATACATAAACAATTTTGTTATCGCTATTGCTGTATGGGTCAAAATCCGCTTTTAGAACATTCAAGCCGAGATAACATTATGAGAAGGATCCTCAAGCCATCGTTTAAGCTGGTCCGAGGAGCCGCACCAGCCTGTGGTCGAGGAGTCAAGGAGAACCGCAGTCAAGGCACCACCAAGGATCAAGGTCAAGGTCAAGGTCGAGTACCGGCGATTAGAGCTGTAACGGCTCGTTTCCAAGATAAGATCTGAAAGAGAATATTCTAGTGGATATTCTAGCGAATATTACTTACATTTTACTATTAGGGTTTCTTGGGAAGTGTCACGACCCAAAATCCACTAGTCGTGATGTCACCTAACCCAACCTGCTAGGTAAGCCAACTAATAACTATCCAATTCCAATGACGTCAATCAAATAATTAAATAAAGAAGTTAACTGAATTTTATACATTCCCCAAGGACTGGTAGTCCAAGTCACGAGCTTCTAAGAATAGAGTTTACAAAGCTGATATGAAAAAAAATACATCTTCTGTTTCAAAAGTACATAAACAGAGTTTTATAAATCTAAGGCTACCATGAACAAGAGGCATCTACAACAGGGACGCAGGTACACCTTCAAATCCAACTCCCATCGAGCACAGCAACAAAAACAGCCAACATCTGCACGCAATGTGCATAAGTGTAGTATGAGTACAACTGACCCCATATACTCAATAAGTAACAAACCTAAACTTAGGTTGAAAGTAGTGACAAGCTGGAACATGGTCGGGTCCAACACCAGTAGCCAACAACAATTCATAACAACATAGAGCATATAAATAAGGAAGTAACTCAGAGATAAAATGCTCAGCTTTTCCACAGTTTTTCAAAAATAGTTCCGTTTTTTAAGAATATTAGTGAAAACCCAATCCTTTACCGAAATCGTCGAAAAATATGAGATAGTTTGAAAACTGTAAATTTTCCCAAAAGTCCTTTCCACAATAAATAAGATGTTTCATTTTCTTTCCAGATAGCAAGTGTGAAATACCTCTCTATGCCCACATATCAATGTGTGTAAAAAAGTCATGAATGACGTGATACCGTACATCATGAGGAAAATGCATCTCTATGCCTGTTGTCGCGCCCCCTTTTTCTCGCGAAATCGGGTTTATGACATTTTGGTTGAGACAACTCGTTCCTTTTGGGAAAAGGATTTTGCATTTTTAAAGAGTCGCCACCTAACGATTTAAGGTGCGTTAGGGCACCTATAGGGTTCATTTATAACTATATTTGGTAACAAGAGACAAGATAAGGGCTTGAAATTATCCTAAGGGGAAGGTGTTAGGCACCCTTCAGGATCCACCAGTGTGGTTCCCGGCCAAACAGCTTTTGTGGATTTGTACAATTTAGCAAATAAACAAGCATGGCTCAAATAATAGGGGATTTAAATTTAAGTACACGGATATTTGAAAAAACAGTTAATGAAAAGCTAGATTTTGAAAAGAATTACAATCTAAGCATATTTATGAATGTAAAGGGGTATCCTAGGTTTGTTTATAATATGGGTCACATTAATGCAATACCTGGTATGACATTCCTCAAAGAGGGGCTACACGTGGTATTAACGCATCGGTCATCATATCTATATCTACCTTTTCCCGCCCCGTGAAGGTAATTAAAGCGAGGATTGGTCTCGACCCTATTGCATGTTGTTACCCGTCCCTTCCTATCAGTTCCGGAGGAATTTAGGACTCCTATCCTATAAAAAGGGGGTTCTAGGCAGACCCTCAAGTTTAAAGGTAAAATACTAAAGCTACACATAATAAACAGATAGGACTTCAATTAAAGGGGAGCATGGAAGACAAATAAAAGGCTCAGATATACCTCCTCACATAGTACACACAAATAGCATGACTCATACACAATTAAGGTCTAAATTCAGATCCTAAGCATAGTAGCAGAGTTAGATTTATTACATAATTCAGAGAGGAAGTCCAAATCAAGCTTGCCTACTAATTTTAAGCTTGTTAACCATTAAGCAGTAAACACAAAGAACAGTTCCCAGTTTTATAGAGGTTGATTACCTAAGGCTTGCCTAGGCGTAGGATAACGCACAACAATTACCAGAATTATTAAAACAGTTTAGAAGTTATTTTACCTAAAGCATGCTGTTCTAAGAGCCCGTTTGGATTGGCTTAAAAGCTGGTCAAACCAGCTTTTAAGCCATTTTTAGATGTTTGGAGTGTTTGGCAAAAAAGAAAATAGCTTAAAAAAGTTAAAAAAAGGCTTTAAAAAAGCTAAAAGCCACAAGTTAGGATATCCTAACTTCTCCGTATTTGGCTTAAAAACCATCTTATTTTGACCAACAAAAGTACTTACTTGTCCCTTATAACTTTTACTAATCCCAAAACTACCCTCATCTAATAAATCCTAAAACATCCAACTACTCCCACTTTCTGTTCATCTTCTTTCCTCTTCTTCTCCTTCATCTTCGACGGTAAGTTTGTTCTTCTCCTTCATCTTCGACACTTTCTGTTCTTCTTTCCCAAACTACTCCCGAACTTTCCTTGTTCTTCATCCTAAAACATCCAACTACTCCCAAACATGGTTTT